GAGACGGCGCTGCGAGCTAAGAAAATGACGTAACAATTTTGTTGCAGCAGGGGATCTTCAAGGGTGCAGGGGCTAGGAGGGTGAGAGTCATCGCCAATATACCAAGAATCTAGTTTGTGTACTGCTGCTCGATAATGACCACTAGTGGCCTCCATGCCTAGGTGAATGATTACTGCCTCAGTTGTGTAGGTACAGAAGGAAATTCGGGAAGTGTGATCTAGGAAGACAGGAATCTGAACTTGCTGTGGAATGGCAATGCAGTTGTGATCCTTTGCTTCACCTGCAAATCTCGGTAAGGCTAAGCACACCTGTTGTGCAGCTTCTATGAGAGCACATGAGCGCTCCTGAGACGACCATGCCACTAGCATGTCCTGCAGGTTGGGCTTGATCGCCGTGGCGAGATGAATGGGAGAACCCCCTTCTTCATCGACTATCACACCCTCTGGAACTGATGCTCGAGTTTCCCACTGTCCAAATTTTGATGCAGAGAGATTCCGAAACACTTGCTGCAGGAACTCTGCAGAATCATGCTGTCCTCCGTCAAAGAGCCAGCCCGTGGTGAGCTCCGAGAAGACTCTGTGTTCAGGGGTTATTCTCGCGAGTAGACTGATCCGAGATGCCTCGTGAAAAGGCGCCTCTGTGGGATCAGATAGCCAGTGCAGACACTGTAGACCTGAGTTGGCATAGCAGTGGTTGCGAGTGTTGGCTAGCAGGAGAAAGCCTTCCAGTCTAAATTCGGGAAGGGGAATACCTGGCATTGAATCTGTGGGCTTCTTTGTGGCTGTCTTCGCCGAGGTCGTGGGCCTTGCTCGAGTATATTCTCGGGGCTGCTTACTGAGCTGCTGACGCGCTACCTCCTGCAGTACGTGCACCTGCAGTAGTGGAACGCACTGCTGAGCATGTCTACCCGGGGCATCCACACGGAGTTTGCAATAACGACAGCTATCTCCTTTGTGAAAGAAGACCTTGAACTGAGCAAGTCTTGGTTGGAGAGTTTTCTCAAGCTTGGCCATCACTTCAGGATGCTGCTTGTTTAGGTGCTGTTTGGCTCCTTTCTGACCAACAAGGACCTGACCGCAGAGTGCACAGTGCTCCATCAGGTAATCATGGAACACCGGATTTCGAGCTGCTCCTTCTGGATTTTCCTGAGCATCAGACTGTAGCCTTTCTGTAAGTGAAATCCGGTTCTGGGCTTCTAGAGGGAGCTCTTCCTGCTGTCGAAGCAAGAGCTCAACCCGAGGGCATGTAGATGCTTCGACGTGTTTGCGCAGAGAGAACACTGTTCGGAATGTTGCTCTACAGGCGATGCAAGTTGCTGACCCTGGCATTGAATGCAAAATAGGGTCAAATTTGGGTCCTTTCAAGCTTTGCTGCGAGTCTGGGTGGGCCTTCTGCAGGTGGCGACGGAGTGCCCCGGTACCAGAGAGACATGCTCCACACTCGCCGCAGGTCAGGATCTTATCCTCTACTGATTGCGAGGAGAAGTCAATGGCAAGGCCTTCCAGAGCCTGGCTGATTGCCTCAGCGCGCAGCTTGTAGTGTGGGAGGAGCTGAGGATCTGAGTGTTGCTGTCTCTTAATGAACTGTGTCAGCCTCTTTTGCAGCTGCTCCTTCACGTGAGGAATCCGTACTCTCCGGAGTAACTCCTGGTTGGATTCCTTCGTTTCCTGGGAGTAGCTCCGCAGGACAAACCGAAGTTGGTACATCATGTGTGAATGGAGCTTCTGCAATCCCTGCTGTGTCAGTCCTACCACGTGAAGGGCATACAGAGCAGAGGCCCACGCAGTTATTGTCCAAATTGACAGACGACGTCTGTCTGATAGGACTCGATGGTTCCTAACTGCATGGGCGACTTCTGACATTGCTAGCTTACTGGATGACAGCCGATGTTTAAGGGTCTTCATTTCGTAGTCATGATAAGAAAGAATGACCCCCAGGTATGGGACCTGGTACCGCAGCGATATCAACTTGCCCGAAGGGAGTTCCACAAACTTCTCTCCATCTACCTGGCGAAATAGCTTTTTCCTAATTGTCGAGGCTGAACCTCCTTGTAGCTGCAGCAGTATTGCTGACTTGGACGGATTGACCTTGAACCCAAGTTCAACCAATTGATCCAGAAGAAGGTCGCAGTACCCTAGTGCTGTAATGAGGCCAGACTCAGACTCGAAATGCGACTGAATCAAGCTATCATCCGCATACATGGTGAGAAGTTTAACTAGTTCGGGGGGGCTGATTTTTCCAGAGAGCTTCCTAAAGAGAAGCCCGGATGCAAAGGCGAATAGGGAAGGTGCAAGCTTGCATCCCTGCTTGATTCCCCTGCGTGTGGCTATCTCAAAGCTCTGATCGCTGGCTGTCATCTTGTACAAGGCTTTGATGTGGAGATGGCCCACCACCTCTATAAGAAGAGGGTCTGCTTGTTCAGCTTCCAGGGCTTCTCTTAATCGTAGCCTGTCCACAGTGTCAAAAGCTTTGCTCATGTCAACGCTCATCGTGAGACTGCCCCTGAGCTTGAGCCCCTGTTGTCCCTTACCAGCCGCTCTAGTTGTAAGGGCCTGCCTGAACCTGGCCTGATCCACATGTGTGAGGGCCTTGCAGATCGCCTCCTCTGTGCCCCTACCTGGTACGAAGCCAAACTGAGAGACTCCTTGCATTGCTTGATGGAGGGTGGACTTGAGTCTCTGCCTCACAAGTCCTGCCAGGACCTTGCCCTCAGGTGCTATCACCCCGATCGGACGGAGTGATGTTGGCTTATCTGGCTTCTTGGGGGGCTTTGGGAGCCAAGAGATCTGTGACGAGGTGACGCTGTCCGAAAGCCTTCCTGCAGTGACTTCCCTATTGAGAGTGTCCGAGATGAGCCGAATAGCGTTGGGGCCTAGGGAGCGCCAAGCTACTATGGGAGGACTTTCTTTAGGAACTGCTTTGCCAAGCTTTATAGTGCCTAGCTGTTCTTGAACTTCTTGCTCGGTGATGTGCAGGCTGCCTTGTATCCCTGTGAGCGGGAAGTCGTCCCCTGCTCCAAACAGTTCAATGGAGTATTCCTCTAATTGTCTACGTTCTTCCTTGGCTGTTAGGAAGCGACCCTCTGAGTCACGTAGCTGAACTCTTTCCTGAGGCCTCCCCGACCGGAAGCGCTTGATCACCTTGTAGAGGGAATGACTCCCGTCTTGCTTGGATTTAAGCTCTGCCTGCTCGAGTTGTTCATCTATTTCCTGTCGTCGCCTTTCCTGCTTCTGACGCTTTGCTACCCTCGCCTGTGCACTTTGCTGAGACAGCGACAGCCAGCAGCGAAATACCATTCGGACCTGCAACTCCGGCAAGAACTCTGCTAAGACCTTGACTGACATTGGGAGTGAGCGCAACACTGTGCGCTCTGCCCAAATGCTGAGATCTGATCTTTGTGCTGCTCCCTTTCTCTTGGGAAAGTGAGTCGCGAGGGCTGAGTTCATTGCTTGATGGAGACTCTGCCAGGTTTGGGGATGATCCTGAAGGAGGGAGTCTACCTCCCTGGCAAATGCCTGTATTTTCGGGGAACGGTGTCTGTAGCAGTCCTCCATTGCCTGCTGGTCATAGGGTTTTGAGGCTTGGGCGGAGTATCTCCTGCTGTGCCTCAGTTTACCAAGAAGGGGGAAATGCCTACTACCATCCCTCCAGGATGCCACTGGGAAGGTCCTTAGTGGCCGGCAAAACCTGGCAGGGCCTTGGGACTGTGCAATCCTGACAAACGAGAAGTCAATCTGTGAAACAGAGTTGCCTTGTTCGTGGGTGGCTGGTCTATGCACTCCCCAAGTGTTGGTTGCGACTAGCTGGTGCTCCGACAGTAGGGTCTGGAGATCCTTAGATCCGCGATGCCCGAGTCTGCAAGCCTGGATCGTGCATGGCCCTACGTGTTTGTTGTCGGTCTTGAGCGAGGAGTTAAAATCTCCTAGCACAAGGAGAGTGTTGCGATTGGGAACAGCTCGGATGGACTTACTTAGGGCGTGAAGGGTCTGCTTCCGGGTTTCCTTATTCTGAGCGACTGTCTCCTTAGAGCGCCAAACGTATTGATAGCAGCTGAAGACGTCCAGTGAGATGCCGTTGCTCGGCACCCGGACCTGGAGAACTCTTCCTGGAACAACCTCGTTGTAGCGAAGATCCTGTGACTTGCACAGCGTGGAGTGCACCATTATGAGGACCCCGGCTCCCTTCTCCCCTGTGGAACCAGAGCTGATCACGTGCCAACCTGACTTGCTGAATTGCCATGAGCCCCTCCAGTGTGTTTCCTGAATTGCTACCAGCTTCACATCCTGAAATGCGGCACTTTGCAGTACGGAGAGTAACTCTTCCCAAACTGCTGTTGTGAGAGATCCTGCGTTCCAGGATAGATAGCTGAGATTCTTTTCTTCTGTAAATTTTGAAGGCCGAGTCCTTCTGCCGGGATTGGTGGGCTTTACATGTGCCGGAGCAACTCCAAGCTCTGTTGACGACATCGTCCTTCCCTTGTAGACCGCACTACCTTCAAGCAGAGCTTTACGTGCTGCCCTTTGATAAGAGCGTTTACCCTTCCCTTTAGGAACGGGCTGATGCTTGGTCGAACCACTAGGCTGTTTCGCAGCACTCATGTTGAGTACGGCTCCTGTCGGCTTCGCAATACCGACAACCCTCACCTCTGGGAGATGTTAGAGAGCTGTAAATCTAATACTCCCTCCCGGACTTGGGACCGGGACTGCTCAGGCGCTGACAAATGCCATGGCAAGAAAGGAAAAAGGCAACTGTACTAGCCTGACCTTTCCTGAGCCGAGAGGCTTTGACAAACAACAGGAGCAAGCATCATAGCAACACCAACCACTCTAAGAACAACACTGATCTTCCTAGTGTTAGTATGACCCATGACAAGAAGTCGATCTAACCCTAAACCCTACACCCTAAACCCTAAACCCTACACCCTAAACCCTAAACCCTGCACCCTAAACCCTGCACCCTAAACCCGAAACCCTAAACCGTCTAACGTGCGCCCGGGCCGCAATCGGACCTGCGAGCCCCGCATCGGAGCACCGAGGATGGCGGAAACCTTGGAGTACTTGACCTCAGGGGGGTTCCTGTTTAAGGCTTTGGGGCTTTAGGGTTTTGGGGTTTTAGGGCTTTGGGGCTTTAGGGTTTGAGGGCTTTAGGGTTTGAGGGCTTTAGGATTTGAGGGCTTTAGGGTTTGAAGGCTTTAGGGTTTGAAGGCTTTAGGGTTTGAGGGCTTTAGGGTTTAGGGTTTAGGTCAGTACTGGAGTTGAGGGCTTTGGGGTGTTCCTGTTTTAGGGGTTTAGGGGTTCGGAGTTGAGGGTTTGGGGGCTTCGGGCTTTAGAGTTTAGATTAGTACTTGACTTGAGGGCTTCGGGTGTTCCTTAAAGGCTTTGGGGTTTTGGGGTTTTGGAGTTCAGGGTTTTAAGGCTTTTAGGAATTCAGGGTTTAGGAGTTTAGGGTTTTAGGAGTTCAGGGTTTAGGAGTTTAGGGGTTTAGGGTTTAGGAGTTCAGGGTTTTTTAACCTACAATGGCGGCATTTCTCCTGCAGCAGCCTGCCCTCCAAGGGCTTGTAGAGGTGAACCGAAGACTCGGACCAAGATTCAGACACACGTAAACATCGCCCTCCCTAATCGTGCACACAGTCTCGACAAAGATGTACCGATAGAGCAGCAGGAGCCCCTCATACTCCACAGAGAACCAGAGTGCTCAAGCTAGAGCTCACGCCAAGAAGAGTACTCACGAGTGGGGTTGCCATCACCCTCGCCAGGCACAACCATCCCTGCTCCCGGAAAGGCAGTCTCGTTGACGAACTCGACGGCAGTAGGCTCGCGCACCTCGGGCAAGACCACCTCAACAAAGTCCCCGTCGTCAAAGTCGTCCATGTTCCCGAGCTCCGTCTGGTTTGCCTCCCGATGCTCCGCTGCGGACTGTGGTGGTGCAGATGCGACATCAAAACCTGGCGTACGTCTCCCCCACGTCATGGGCCGACCCGTCATCCTGCCAAACAAGCGATCATAGCCAACTGTGCTTTGACCGCCACGGGCACGACGAATTGCTTGCCATGTATCTTCAAATGTCCATCCACGTTCACCCCCTCGAAGGTCTGGCGACATTGACGGAAGAGGCCTTCCTTGCCTCCATGGTGGTAGACCCCACTTTTCGGTGCAGCTCTCGGCCATGTCCGTGGAACCGTAACATGGTCTTGCCGTCGAAGGACAAACAGGAGTTCACGTAGGACAAGCTCAGCGCGTTGTGCAAGTAGCTGTTCCCTCACATCCAACGTTTCCTCTACGCCCAATGGCATAGGTTCGCCAAACCTCCAGCAATTGGGATGATGTAACCCGCTCGTCTGTGAGAAACGCAGTGCCCCTCCCCTATTGCCGATCTGAATGCCGCGTGGGCAAATAAAGATCTGAAAATCGAGGGGTTAAGGTCTGACTTTGCGTCAGGCGCAAGATAAGCAATTATCTTTTCTGCGTCTTGCAGGACAGCATTGTAAAATGCTACAGGTATCGGGGAGTAAATCTTTGTGCTCGTGTTCCTTTGGGACAATGAGGCTCCGGTGGATTGGGCAGTATCTGCCAAAACCTCGATATCCCCTGACAACCCGTAAGGAAGGTTGTTGGAAGAGGCCATACCGGCGATGTCGAACACTGACATCAAACTCAACTGAGTCTCTGAAAGCTGCGACATGTGCTTCTTCATCGACAGCATAAACCCAGCGGTTTCTGAATTGAAAGTAGTCCGCATCTCAGCTGCTACGGCTTCAATAGACGCTGTGTTCACGAATCCTTCTCCGAAGATACCAGGAGGCACTGCAGGAGCCTTTGGTTGGGCCTTCGCAGAAGCGGCCTTACTTCCTTCCGCGAGTTCCGCCATGTCGAAATGATATGAGGAGCTGAGGGCCGAGAACTTGAGTTCAGGGTTTAGGATTTAGGGTTTAGGGTTCGTTAGAGGCTTCAGGCTTGAGGGTTCAGGGTTCCTTAAAAGCTTTACACTCCGATCAGAATACGCTATTTGGGAGCGGAAACTCGTGTACCTGGGTACTTGGACTATCTGGGGTTTAGTGCACAGAACCGTTGCCAAGCTTTGTAGATGTGGGATGCGAACTGTCAGTGTTTCTCAGACTTCGAGCGTGAAGGCGTGCTCTTAGTCACGATTGTAGCTACGCGGCGGCAATGGGCCGCTCTGAAGCCCTGAAGCCCTCAGGTCAAGTACTCCCAGGTCTCCCTAAGCCTCTAAAGAAGCAGATACCCTGAACCCTGAGAGGTTTCGAAGGCTGAGAAACGAAGGCAAGGATGAAACTGAGGCCTCCCGACCTAAAGTGGAAACCGTGCTCCCGTGCTATAGTAAGGAAGCTCCACAAATGTACTGGTAATTAGGAATCGGGTTTGGGGGTATATTCTACATTACGGCACTTTTGTGGGACTTAGGGCGTACTGCGCTTGGGATTTCTTTTGGGGGTCCG